TTGCCCAGAAACTCTGAAGGGCTCATAAAACACTTTCTAGGTTGCTCTAGTTTAATTCCTGCTCTCAAGTTAAAATATTACATGAATCCACCAATCTCTCTACCATTGAGGAAACAAATTAAATGAAGCTTTGGTACATTTTGAATCCTCTCTGAAGTCTCTTTGAAGGTCTTGGAAGTTATCTTGGAAAAATTCTGAGCAGCTTATCCTATCCTATCATGTCAGTCCAAAGAATTGAAGTTCTGTCATCCATGTGGGAAGATACGTATTTTTTCACATACATTTTGGATGCTGATATAAAGATAGATTTTAAAAAAAATTTATGGTCAAAAAAGCAGAATGGAAACGAGCAATAACCTCAATCTGGCTATGATAGCAAACATTCCTTGTGAAGGTAGTGACAAAAGCAAATCACAAACCAAATAAAATTATCTAAGCACATATCAATAAGAAAAAGACATATCCCCAGAATGCCTATAGCATTATATTTCTAAAACAAATTTACTTCCAAATAAAAGTTAATTTTAACTATCTGACAACTACCCCTTGTTAGGACTCTCTCTTGCTGATATGAGAAGGGTAGGTGGTAGCAAGCAGAGTTGCATAGAGGATGGAAGATCTGGGCACAGCATCCCTTCCTCCATCCCAAAAATGTTCATGAATGGAAGGGTAAGACTAGAACTGAGAGCCTCAGGGCTCTGGTGTGTGAGGTGGGTAGAACCCAAAGCTTCTTCACCAAATGGTTTAATGTATGTGCATTCTGCAATGGAAAAATCACTCCACCAGAGCATTCCAACAGGAAGGGTTGAAGATTTTGGTTGTAATTCAGTGCAAGATGTGCTGCACTACACACATGTTCTGTATTTACTGACAAAATGTCTGTCAGGTCAGCATGCCCTGCACCTTGCAATGCTGAGTCTTTGTCTACACTGCAGAGTGTAGGCTGTCACCTGGACCAGCTCAGGCACTGCTGAAGGTAGCACTGAGCTCATGGCAGGCACATTTTTCCTGCTTCTTCAGCAAGTTTTGCAGTGCAGTGAGTTCTGCACTGTCCCAGGATCTAAAATAGCTAGTTCAAAAATTCAGGTATTACTGGGCCATGCTGCTGTCTACCATGCAGACAGAGCCTCACTCATTTTTAGGTGATGTTCTCAGCCCACTGTTGTGAGATACCTCATCTGGTACATTTTTAGACCTGCTATATATATAGGTGACACCTGGCATTTCTGTATCTAAAGAGGAACAAAAGTGCATCAGAAAAGTGGTTTGAATTTGATAAAGAAAAACCATAGTACCAAAGAAGCTTAAACTTAAACATGTTAGCAATAAGAATGTTCTTGGAAGGCAGTGTGTTTAGTCAGGGCAGCAAGCTTAGAAAACACTGGAGCCAGATGGGCTGATTCATACATCAGCATGCAGCCTTATCTGCTGAGAAATCAAACCAGCAAGTGGAATGTAGAAACCTTTTCTGAATCCTGCAATTGTCAATTTTTGCTTCTGATGTAAGCTTTTCTTAGGTTTACATATTTGATCTTTCAGCTAGACTCTAAATACTTTGATTTATAATGGTTGAATGTAGAAATTATACAATGCACAATAAATGTTCCAGCTTTGAAGGCACTGTCCATAGAAGTGCCATAAAAGACAGCCACAGAAAAATGCTCAAAGAACTTGGACATGAAGTTTATTTTCATGGCAGGAGACAGAAGTTCTGAAGTCCACTTTAGGTCATGAGCTGATCTGGATCTGAGAATGATGGTGGATTCTCTCCCTGACTACAAATCCCCTCTCCTCTGATGATGTCTGGAGCATCCTGAGGTGGAAGGAAGGAGATCAAGCTCAGAAGCATGTGATGTCCTTTGAGTCTCACTATTGTGTAAAAAGAGCCTCAATTCCTGTGACCCTAGGTTTTTGGTTGCATATGTGTGATGATAAGAAGAATACAGTTCAGATGGTAAAATACTTTTCAGAGCTGCAGAAGGAAGGAATATCTAGATCTGTATATGAAATAAGGTGTGGATTTTGCCAATGCTAGAAAGAATATATTTTAAAAAAGGAAAGGTTAGCAGGGAATCTGTGGTAGAAGCTGGTGAACCACTGATGGAAGCAGAAGATCCTTCATAACATATGTCTGAAAACTACTTAAGACTCATGATGTCTGGTGCCAGGGAGACAGGATACAAACACTGCATCTCTTTGTGTCAGTGAGACCAGTGTCACTATGGATGCAGAAGACATTAATTCCAGGGGGAGAGCAGTGCCAACTTTTGTCAAAGGAATCCTTTCAACAGCTCCTTCACTTAGGTAGCTAAGAAGTTCAATGTCCAATGAAAGATGCTGCCTCCTGGCATTACCTCTGCTTCATTAAATAAGGAGACAGTGATTTGTGCAGTTACACTCTACAAGCCTGCAGAGAGGCAAGAGAAGAGCCCCAGGTCACTCTGACTAGCATTACTCATTTCTGTAATGCAGCTTGAGAAATGGAGGGGAAACATATGTGACAGAATATAACGAGCATTTATGAGAGAAACTCACATGGATGGCCAATGGCCAGAGTTCTCACACATTTCATTAAAAAATAACCAGGAAAACCAGAGAAGTGAATTTCCTGCGTATCATGGGATGTTGCACAAAAGACACTGTATGCTGGACACATAGGAATGGAAAGGTGGCACAAGATCTGCAAGAATGCTTGAGATACCTATTCAGATCAGGCATGAACAATTACCACTGAAGACAGAGCACCAAATATTATACACATGACCACTTCAGAAAGCAGAATGTAAATCACCCCTGAAATCACAGGAGACTCCTGGTTCTCTTTTACCTAACATTGTCATAGGGGAAATCAGGGGAAAAACAGACCTTAGTGGGATTTACATTTTTAATGATACAATGCACAGCTAGCAATGTAACGGCCCATCATTTGTAGCAGATTGATTAAAAATAGATTTTATGAACAGCTAAGAGAAGATAACAGATCACAATTCAAGAAAGGCACATTCTGATAATTTTCCATACTTATCAGTTTAAACAAGGAGTACAAAATTCCAGCTGAAGACTATGAATAGGAAGAATTTAACTTGATAAAATGGATATGAGAGGTTACATGGGGCCTTACTCTTCCTTACTAGATCATTGTAGAATGTTTTAAAATCTTCATAAGTATCATGACATTTACAAGCTCATGAACAGAAAAAAGCCAAAACAGTTCATTGCCAAGGAGCACTTGAAGCAAAACCAATCAATCTAGAAGCATTTATGTTTCTATAGTAAATACAATACAGAGATACTAAAAAAATAGTAGAAAAAGTTCCTGATTGCAAATGCCAATTATTGAGTAGGATTTCTGTGATTTAACTTTAACTGTCAAAAAATAAGCATCCAGTTTTCCTGTGTTCCCTCAATAATCAGTGGAGAGTGACAGGAGTCTCCAGGGAAAAAAGTCTTCTCATTCTGGGTGACAGGATGAATCACCCTCATGTTTCCAACAGCTGTAAAGGGTATCTAGATTATTGTCTTCCCAACTGAAGCTTAGATTAGCTGGAAAAACAGACCAGATTTTGGGCACACCAGCACACCAGTCCTTCTTTTGATCTGGAAACAAAAGAGGGATTTGTGTTCCCAGCACCTTACTATTTTACTAAGTTCTAGTTTGCCAAAGAAAGCATTTTGCCTTAGAAATTTTCTTTCTTACATAGTAGACCATTATAGAGAAAACTCCAATGGATGTTTTAAGAAAATTCCACTGGATGTTCCAACTCCAAAGAGTTGTATTTAAAGTTGAATGGGCTCAATCTCATCCTAAAAGCAAAATTAAAACAAAAGCAGCATCACGGCATCAGATGAGTTATAAGCTCAAAATGGTTCTTCCTTGTCATTGGTTAAAAAAAGGATTCTAGATACCTAGATCAGATATTGATACACATTATCTGATAGAGAGAGTAAACAATTGTCAGGGCAGATGAGTCCAACCCAAAACTGATGTGTGGATACCGTTGTATGGTATGTGGATACCATTTATTATCCAGTAAGTGCAGTGAACACATCAATCCCACCTGAACAGGAACCTTCTTGTGCACTCATGTCCCTCTGGCTTTGTGCACTTACTGCCTCCTGCTGACAGGCTGTGCTCAGGGAACAGCTGCTTTCCTCAGACAATTAAACTCTCTGGAGAAAGCCAAATAAAACCCCTTTCTATGATGCTGCATGAATACTCTTTTATAAGTGGAAATGTGGGGTGCCACTAAGACAGGCATTTAGGGAAAAGCCCCAGTCAATCTCCCAGCCATTAGGCCATGTCGGGAATGCTGGAACAGGCTCGTGAAAGATCCTGCTTAGTCTCTTTCATACAGTGGCTCTTAATAATGAGCATATAATAAATGTACAGTCTGGAGAATTTACTATACAGTATCCAATTGGATTTATATAGTCATAAACTTCCACAGCACTGCTTCTATGATTTACAACAGTCTCTACTAATTATGAAGCTATGCCTGGACCTGAGATGTAAAAGGTAAACGTTACCAGACTGGTTGTACAGTGACACTATACAAATGCACACTTGCCAAAGCAATTTTGAATTGCTTGTTAACAGACAGCCATTGCAAATAACCATATATTTTGGTCTGCTCATATGAAAAGCACCAAAACCAGAAACCTAGGAATTGTGGGATGGTGTTTTATTGTGACAGAGTTTAGAGATAAGGAGTCTGGAATGGACAGTCAATGAAAGGACTGCTGCTTCCTGCCTGGATTGTAGGGGATTGGACTTGGTAGCTTACCTGATCCCTTCACAAATCTATACTTCTGATTTCCTAAACAGAAAACACCACGGGAAATACTGTAACTTACTGTAGGACAAGCCTCTCATGACCTGAATGGATACAGGAAGATGTTTACTTCATAGAAGTTTTCCAGCACAAATATTTAATTTTGTTGTTACTCAGCACATTAAATAACTATTTCAGAAAGGACTATTTGTGACTAATAGGAATTACCTGGGCATCGTGGGCAGCACAGCTGTGGTACATGCACAGGGGAAGCACAGTGTAGACTTGGGCATCTTATTCTGCTGCACAAAACATTTCCATTCTGCAGATGGAACATAGTACATAGTATTTTAATGAAATGCACTGTCTTACAAATTTCTGTGTTCTCTATTCTACATCCAAACTTTTTTTTAAAGCCTTTTTACAACATTCTGGTTTCACTCACACTGAGATATGCCCAGATACTTCCACTGCCTTTTATATAATTTATGCTGGAGGTCAGAAATCCTAAAAAACCTTAAAATCAGATGAAGTGACTAAAAATGGATAGCAACGATCTCCATTTCTCTTTTTCTTTCCATTTGTCTTTTTCTTTTGAGCAGATTATGCTTAGGAATTGCATTTCCAAAACCAAGACATGGATAAATGGTAGATCTCTGAGATATCCCCTACTGAGGGTTAGTTCAAGACCACAAGAGACAATAGCATCTGTAATTGCTCCTGAAAACTGTGGAGAGTCTTTTGTTTTCCTTTTATTGCTTTCCCAGTAGACAAAAAAACCCAGATGGTAAGTAGCCATTTTTCTAAGAAACATGAGTTAAGTCTTGGGAATAGGGTTCATTATTCATGTCATTAACATAATATTCTATTTGACCACATCTAAGTTTGATTTATAATTAAAACACAGGGAATTTTCATTCTCCAGTGTCTGTAACCAGAAAAGACTATCCATTTCAAATTCCCATTTCCCATCTATAATTCATCCTCTTAATTTAACTCTGAGTTGCTCATATTTATAACAAGAAAGATCTTTCAGCATGAACATTGATACTAAGTTATGACTGTAGTTTTAGGTGGTGTCAGGACTAAACCTACTTTATTTTCATATGCCTTCTGGAGCACTGAAATGTTTTCAGTGGATGTGCAGAGTTCCCTAGACAGCAGAGGTACAGGCTTTTCTATTCATCCCTTTCAAAATAATTCATTGACAAATATCTGCAGACCACAGGATGGAATCCTACTGTTAGATCATTGCTAGCCACAAACTACAGTTGTGCATCTGCTTTGGAAAGAGACACTAAACATGATTATCACCATCTGTTTCCAATAAGAACTGAAATGAAATATACTGATTTTGTAGAAAAGGAGCAAATTTTAGACTGTAGGATCTTCACAGATAGGGGCTATCCCTGGTCTGCACAGCTGCTTGCCCAGCAGATGTGGGAACCTGTGAAGCACTACTGTGGAAGAGAGGCTGGCACTGCCTGCTGACCTGTCTCCATGTTGCTGACTTGTCCTGTTCTGTGACCTCACTCTTTTTCATTTTAAGTCCTGTGGAATCTCCTGAAGTGAATCTTTACTTTCTGTGCATGGTCAGCTGTGATAAAATTCTGCAGGCCAACTTTGCTGCTCCACACTGCCAGCCAGACTCCACTGTGTGCCTCAGGACAGAGCTATTTAACCTGATCCTGTGCTTAGTGAGACTGATCTTACACCTGCATTCACAGTGCCAGCTGGGAGAACAGCCCCAGCACCAGAGCAGGACCCAAGTGCTGGTCAGTCTCTCTAAGCCAGGGCCAAGGTCACATTTCTTCATCAGGTACCAGAGAGTGTTGATGATCTCTCTCCCAAAGCTGGGCTGGCAGTGCTGAGGGTGGAGAGCAGGCATTCAGCCTGAGATCTGCAGATATGACTGCGAACACAAGCAAAAAACTGCTTTAAAAAACTGGTTTAGGGAGTAAAATAATGATCTGACAAATTGTGAGTGCTCTATTTTACTTGACAGTAACAGTCAACAGGCTCCACTATGAACTGGGGGGGGGAGGAGGGGTTGTAAAGGAAGGGGGAACAGGGTGAGAACACTGAATTATGTTTAGTTTTATTCTGGCTTAAGTATGTAAATTATAACTTGTAAAAATACAATACTATACACACACAAAAACAGGAAAGCTTTTTTTTTTTTTAGTGCCAGGCTGTATAACTTGGCCTCTGTTTAGTTAATTTGCCTTGCCTTTTTCTTAAACATCAGAAGTGTGTGTGCTGGGGGACTGGACAGACAGACTGACTGTTTAGAGACAGAGCAGAGATCTCTGTCTGCTGCCTGGCTGATGTGACTTGTTCTGTGCAGACATCACATGAATCACAGTGTCTGTGGCCAGCAAAGACATTTTGATACACTGGACATAAAGACCCCTGGGGATTTTTTTGCTTTTCTCTGCAGTGTGAGGGAATTGGTTGCTGCATCAGACTCTCTACAGATCCTGCCAGGCAATCACATCTCTGACTTAGATCTCTCTGACTTGCTGTCTGTGGCACACTTTACTTTCATCTTTTACACTGTCATATGTCAGGTTTATGGTCTGTGCTTGTGCTCATGATATGTTTTCTAATGCCTTTATTTTGCTAAAATTATAAATTATTGAGGGTTTCCTGAAGGAAACTTCATGAAACTGATGAAGCTTCAGGAGCTTTTATGGTAGATCAGTGCTCTGAGGGCATGATTTTGGCCAGGACAAAACTCAAATGAGTGGATGCTACAGTTGTTATTTGCAATCATCTTCCTTCTAGACAACAAGAGCCACATCCAAGAGATCCCTCAGCATCCTCACTGTTGAAATTATCCCAGGTTACATTTTGCACCCTCGTGGCACACCAAAGGTAAAACATAGCAAACAAGGGAGTAAAGTCCAATCCACTTCTGAGCTGCATGTACTGGAAGGTACCATAAGCAGTTTCCTTCTTTACTAAACCTGCTGCCCTGAACTATCACTTTGTCTTCCACACCCAAGTGAAAAAATAAAACAGACTCTGTTTTTTGGAGGCTCATAGTGTGTGGGTGTGTCTGGGTCCCAGCAATGTTGCTGTCTAGAGGAGCTGACCAGGCACTTTCCCATCCTTCCAAACTGTCCGACGTCTCTCTAAAAACCATTGAGCATTTATTTGTATCCAGATCTCTAGGATTTCCAGTTAATTTTTTCCCCACCCAAGACACATTCTTCCAGTGATTTAATGAGTGTTTTACTCCACACAAACTCTGAGGGAGTTTTCAACTTGGCATATACATCAGCAAAAGTTGAGTGGAAACTCCTTTTTGCTCTAAACAAAGACTTTTCCTTTCCTTCCTACTACATTGTTTTTTCTCTCACAGCTGCATTCTGCAGCTAAACTTGTGGAACTACTGTTTGTGCATCTCTGTACTGAATTGTAGTAGCAGATTCCCTCAGAGCAAATGCTGCACAGAGGTCCAATATTTTACACTTGCAGGGAGGAAAAATAGCAAGGAATACTTTATTCTTCATTAAATATAGCAGACAGAACTCAGCATCTGGAGTGTCTCATGTGTTAGTGATTAAGATCCCTTATTGTTTATTTTAAAGTACTCTAAGGGACATAAACTGCCCTCATTTCTGTGCCTCCTCCCAGCTGTATCTGACATACTATGGGGATCTCTGACTGCTGTGTTTTTGCATCAGCCATCAACTGATGGGAGCCCTTTCATGTTCTATCCAATTTTCTCTGCTCTCCACAACCTTTTCTCATGTTTCATCATCTCATTCTTCTTTGAGTGACTTTTACTAACAGTGATATCTAAGCCTGTTCCTTCAGCACTTTAGGGCAGCAGATGCTTTGACTGAAGATGTTTGCAGTGTACACAGATCAAAGTACCAAATTCAGGTTCAGCATACTCATCCATATTGGTGGAACTGCAAGGATTATACTTAGGTAGTGGGGCCTGATCAGTTGAGATGTAAAGCCCAGCATCCACAAAGCTTCTGGCTAATTAAGGAGTTGTTTTGTCTATGCTATGCAAGAATTTTTTGCCAGTATTGGCCTTCTCTGTTAATATTTTCCTTTCACTAGGATCACCTGCCTCTATTTCCTGCAGCCTGACCAGGACCCACTAGTGAAAATAGGTTTGGGCTTTGTCAAATTGTAGCTACATGAGAAAGGATTCTAGTCAATGAAGCAAGCAGGAGTTGTAGGATCAATAACTCAGCAGTCCTACCTCTGAGCAAAGACAATTAACGCAGTAAACAAGGCCATACGGTTCTAGATAAGGATGCCATCTTTCTCCTACATGGTATTTCTTATCTTGAAACACACAGTATGTATCTGAATCTGTAAAACAGTAAAGAATTGAAAAAGCTATGAATGAAAATTTCCATTCCATGTTTATGAAGTATATTTAGATGTGCAGAGTTTTCTGTAAACTACTTTTTCTTTTCCTGGAGAATTACACAACAGAAAGACCCTTAATTCCACATGCTGTTTTTTCTTAACTTTCAACCCAAAATAAATGACATGGCCTCCCCTTTTTCCAAAATTGCAACTCCTGAAATGATGATTAAATGGCTTTCATACAGGTGAGTTCATCTTTTCACCTGTTTAGGTAAGAAAATTTAAGTGCCTGATCACTCAAACAGGCTTATAGGAAACAAAACCTCTTCACTGCAAAACCAAAGCAATTGGTCCAACTCAAGAAAATCCCAGGTTGTACCACAGAGAGATGTTGAAATCATTTATGCATCAGCTTTCAAAATATTCTAAGATCTTTTGTTCACTAAGCACTTCTGATCTTGCAGTTACAGACTTGCAGAAATCCACATACAAGTTTGACATTATTGTCCACACTATGGTTTCACATTGAAACCCCAAATCTCTACAATAAAAGGGTGTTTCTCATGTGTTTCCATGAGGGAATTCCTTTCTGTTATCTTAATGATATCCAAGTTCAGTTTAATTCATTACCCACAGTATAGATGATACTTCAGGATATCTTAACAAAATACCCATCTTCCATGTGCTAATCCAAGCCAGGGACAGTCTTCACATTCACTGGGCTCGAAGAAAGTAGCCAGAGCTAGGGACTGTTAGTAGAAGCTCTGATCTGCTTTCCCTTCACACAGGAGCATGACAAATGGAACACAGGATGTGAAAAAGCAGACAGCTGGAGTTTGGCAATTTCTCACTGTTCCTTCTTTGAACAAGGTTCCTGCACATGGTTTTTCTGTGAGTGAGTTCAGTGGGGCAGAGGGCCTTTCTGGAACTCACTCTCTTTTGTTTCCCTGCATCTTCCTTGGAAGCAGAACCTGCTGATACTTAAAAATTTTTAAGGGCAAATAATGTCTTTTTTAAGAAGGAGGCCAAAATCCCACCTGTGCAGGTAGGGAGAGCATTCCAGAGACCTACTAACAAGGCTGAAGCAGTCAATAACTCCTAGGTTTATTTGGGTAGCTATTCCTCCTTGCCATGATTTCTGAAATATGTTAACATCTCCCACAGATGACAGGCTTTACAGAAATGCTCCCTTTATTTTGTTTGTAATCTTTTCAATTCTTTTCTCAAAGGATGTTGAGAATCTAATCCAGTTCATATGAGGTTGTTTTTACAACACGACAGAACAGTCTTGGACAAGCTTTACACTAGCTGAAAAGTTTAGCACAATAGTCTTACACATGGGACAGATCCAGATAATCTGTCAGATGTTTACAGAGGTTACTAAATAGAATTAAGCACACTCTTGACTCAGGATATTTGAAATAAAACAGATTCTCCAAGTGATGTGTTATGTTCTTTATGATGCACTATAACCTGTACAGCTTTAGGAAAATGTACCCCAAGTGTGGCTGTGGCCTGATTCCACTAAATACAGGATTAGAAGGAGGAAGAATGTTAGAAGGTTTAGGACATTCTTTTCTGAACCACATCTGAAAATAGAAGGAAAATGCCCAATTTAGGTGAATGTGACAGCTTTGCTTGAAGTCTACTTACGTTTTACTTGTTCTAGTTTACTTCCATCTATGAAAAGGAGACAGAGCACACCAAAAAAGATAAAATGAAAATCCTCCAATATCCACTTTCTTTCCATCTTTATCATCAACAGGAAAAGAAAGAGCCTCCAAGAAGAGACTGTTGAGCTGTTGGGAAAAAATACTAAATTAATTAAAGTAAAATCCAGTAAGATACTCAATTATTTCATCCAGCACACAGAATTCTTAAACTACCAGAACAAAAAAAAAATATATATGTATCATGCATCTTCCTTTCATGGAAACAGCTTTGTCTTCAGATAATTTAATTTTTGGAAAAAGGAACACATTCCTATTCATGAAAGCTGAAAACTGGATATTCCTTCTAAAAATGTCCTTATTTTATTTCAAAGCAATCTGTCAAGGAAGCAATCTAAATTCCCAAAAGTTCTCTTTCCCAGGAAACTAGTTTGGGCTATGTTCTTGCAGAGCATCACTTTCAGAAGTATCTTTGGTGTCAATTGCAACATGTTTGCTTCATCCTAAAGTCAGCCTTGGTGTCCCTGGAGTAGAGATCCTGTGGAAATCCCTGTTCAGGGTGAGCCACTGGCCCTGCTGCAGCAGTGGGAGTTCTCCTGACCACATCTAATAGGCTTCCAGCACTATTCAGCTCTCCCCTTCGCCCCTCTCCCCACCACTATTGTTCTGGTACTGTGTAGAATTAATTTTTCTAGAGTTAACCCTTCTGCTGCCTTGATAGCTGAGAGCAGAGTGGGGGAATGACTTGGCATCTTCATTCCTGTAGATCTTTAATGTCAAAATCCTGCATGTGGGGCAAAGCTTAATTTATTCTTCTCTGTGTGGTGCAGAGCTGGTATTGTACTTGCTGCATGGGCCATTCTGTTTATCTTTTTCTGGGGTTTAACAAGTGAATTATTTTACAGAAATAATTAACTAATTAACTAAAGGTTTTTTTTTTTAAATACAGCCAACTTAAGATTCTACTATTTTGCTGCTCCAATGCTTTTAAGCATTCACTGCAAAAATGTTATCTTCCAAGAGTGCACTTGTCCATAACTTACACAGTGTTGGAAAGATTTGGGTGTGATTTTAAAAGCCTTGATATGGGTTCACTATTAGTTTTACAGAAGCTTAAAAACCCCAAAAAGAGTCACTAATGGAAAAATGAAAAAAACTATTTACTGTTTTGTAAACTAATATGGCCTCTTCAGATTTCATGTAAATAACAGAACTCTATATAAATATGTTCAAACTTACAGATATCAAAGCAAATATAATAATTTATATAGGCATAAGTAAAGTGGTGGATAACTTAAAGAAACTAAACAGTAAGTTAAGAAGCCATTAAAATGAAGATCTTCCTGTTAAGACTGTTGAGACCTAGGATACTGTAACAAAGGGTATGTAATCTGATTTTATCAGCAGCTTCATTACCTTCACTGTTCAGGAATTCTCTGTATTCCCAAACCACAACCACAATGGACATCTTCCTTAACTAACTAAACCTGTGCCACTACTCTGTACTCAGTAAGCTCATTCAAAACAATGCAAATTGCCTCTGAAAATGTTTAAAGAAACTCCTTCTTTAAAGCAAGTCCCTATTCAGTAACAAAACATAACTTTCCATTTATTTTGCAAGTTGAGAATAATGTTTCAATTTCAGAAGAAGAGTTTAAGTAATTTTTCCCTTTCCAGTATTCAAATCACATAGGACATTTCTGAAGCCAAACATCCTTTTAAAAACCTGTTTAACATTAAAACCTCATAATTTAGTCCCAGGACATCATGCATGCATTCAGAACAACAGTAGCACATCACTGGGACTAGCAGAAATGTGAATGTTTAAATATTTCAGCCTTCTTAGGGATTGCTTAAGCAAACAATAATTATAAATGGCACACAATTATCCTTTGTGCAGCGCCTTATCTGTTAGCTAGGTTGGTTAGTTGGAATAGAAAGGCTCAGAAATCCACCCATTTTAAATGTCAGGTCTTGAAAAAGGAAGAACATTACAAAACTTGGACTGCTTGTTTTTAGAAATGCTGTACAGTAATGTGAGATGGAGGAGTTAATAACAGAAATGGGATGGAGACTTTTGATGTTGTTCTTAATTCTCTTTAATTTCTGTATTGTTGTTACTCCAAATATAAACACATACTTTTCACTATTAGGACACTCCCTTTATTTCCCCAAAGGGCAATGTCCTAAAAATATTCCTGGATTTAAAAAATCTCAGTTAGTATTAACCTGTTAATTATTGGTGTATTTTCTACATTGTAGAAACAATTAAAGTCATCCACACCTTACTTAGTGTGGATGACTTTAATTACTTAGTGAAATAAAGCAGAAGGGGCTCTGTTTAACGCCTCGCCCTACAAAAAGCCCGGCTTGGTAACTACAAGAGGCGGTGTCCGGCCTCGCCACGTTTTACAATTAGTGAAAAAAACCCGCAAAATCCAAAAATGGCAGTGCCGGAGGCAGTGGCAGGGGCTGCGGCGGTGCAGCGGCGGGGACAGCTCAGCCCCGACGGCCGCGCTCCCCTCCATCACCCGCAGCGCGAATCCTGTCCCTCCGCTCCTCCCGAGCCTTTATCCCTGCGGCGCGTCCGCCCGCTGCCGTCGGGAGGAGGCCGTGGGCGGGCGGCTCCCCCGCGGGCTCCGGCTCTGCCGCGGGCTCCGGCTCTCGCTGCTCTGACAGAGCAGCCGCCCCTTGGGAGCCGGCCCGGGGAGCGCCCGCCGCCCCGCCCGGGGCCGGGAGGGGAGCTCGGCTCGGGGCTGCCCCTTCCCGGGGCCGGGCCAGGTGCCGCCGCTGCCCCGAGGGGGCGACGGGACATGGACCGGCGGAACGGGACAGACGGAACGCCCGGAAGGCGTCGAGTCCGTGCCGCGGCCTCGGGAGTAGCTCCGGCAGCGGGACCGCGCCTTCCCGGGGCCTCGTCTCGGACAGCAAAGCTCACAAACCTGGGGCAGGGCTGGAGGCCGCTCCGCTCCGCTCGGACACCGCCGCGAACAGCGCTCGGGCTGGGGCGACCGCGCGGCTCCGCGCTCCGCGGGTACGGGGGGGTCCGGCCAGGCGGCTCCGCTGCTCACTCACGTTGCCATAATCTTCTCACGCGGCTTTTAGGTGTCCCCTTCGACTGGGTAATGGGGGGGCAAGCAGGGACGGACGGGGTCCTGTCGCCGCCGCCGCAGCCCTCGACCCCCGAGTGATGGACGGGAGCGGGGAGGGAGGGATCCGCTACGCCCGAGCTGCGGGGTGGGTGCTCCGGAAGGTCCCGGGCTGGGGCACCTGCCACCGCCTGCCGCCCCGGCGAGGAGCGCAGCGAGGCCCCGCGGCCGGAGGATGCTCGGCGGCGGGTCCTGCCCCGCAGCCCCGCCGGCAGCGAGCGGCGGCGGGAGGCGGGGTGAGCAGGTCCGCCTCCGCCCCGGCCCCCTCCTCGCCCGCGCCCCGCGCCCGCCGCCCGGCACAGCGGCGTGGCTGACACGGCTGGGGTGGAGCCGCTCCGCCATGGGGGGCCGCGGACAGGGGGGCGACACCGGACGCGGGGCTCGGAGTCCGCCCGCCCTTCGGGCTGCCCTCCCGCCCGCGGAGCAGCCGCGGCCCGCGGGACCCGCGCCCGGCGGTGGGGCCGTGCTCCGGTGCCTTCCAACGACCTGCGGGTTGGGTGACCGTGGCCACTTTTCCTCCACGGGAACACAGCCCCACGGGTGGCTTTCGTGGAGAGCGGACTCCACACCGAGACGGCTCTTTAATGGGCTTCTCCTAGTCGGGGTGCCCCCCGAAGCAGACCTGACGGAGTTAGCATCCACTGGGAACTGCCAGACACCTTCTGCTGATACCTTCTGGTCTGATTTATTGTGTTAGAAGGTTTCAAGGTCACATTGAGATTCTGGTGGAACTAAATTAAACCCATGACTCATTATATGCTTGGTCAAACATTCTTTTTCTGTCTTCTTGTAGCCCCTGTAACTAATAAGAAGAGATCAGTGAACTCTTGACAAATGATCTGAGAAAAAGGGTGAGGTATGAAAAGACATCATGTGGAGAAACAAATTACAACCTATTTCCCCTAGTTTGGGACCAGGGTGTTTGGGAAGCACTGCTGGGAGGTCGTACACCTCTCAGGCTTAGTAGATATTTTCAGAAGGCTGAAAATTGAGCAGAACTTTCGTTTCTTCCATTGTACCTTAGCTGGACAAAACACTGAAGGTACACTGTATGGTAAAACCTTATACTAGCATGAGGAAAGATAGATTACTTGCTAAGGCTTTTGTAGTGTGACTTTATGAGTAACCAAGGCTGTGTGTCAGTCAAATGCAACTCTATAACTACTAATATTAAATAATGAAAAGAGAAAGTTCTGGAGCTAAGCATTTTGAAAACATTGCTCCATGCCTACTTCTGTGTCACTCTGCCACTCTGTCTTGCTGTGCACAGGCAGTAATCCATGTTCCTGAGGAAAACCCACTGCTTAAAGCTCTTAGTTCCCAATGTGATGCCTATGGCTGCAGACTGATAGTATAGGGACAGCCACTATGTATGAAACAGGGATGGGCAAACAGAAAAAGAAATGGTAACTCTGAATCAGAAGTATGATTGTAACTTGCACATGAAATCAGAGAACCTGCTGTGTGCAAGCTCCAGTCCCACACAGGGGTATCCATGCTCATGGAGAAGAGTTAAGCACATGTGTGTGCTTCTAAATTGTGGGGCTGTAGGAATGTTTCTCCTTTAGGTGTTGTGCTGGGTTAGACCATACAGGCTCAGCCTGTGAGATAAATTGCCTCTGAATAACACAGACACTCAGCTGTGTGACTGAACTGACCCTACTGCAAATCTTGGTGAATAGAAATCCACAGGTCATTGTAGACAGGTTTAACAGTTTGGGTTGATAGCAGCTACATGACTTTAGTAAATGCAGCTTTGGGCCTGGGCAGAGCTCAGTTTTACTGCAGAGACATCCTCCAGAACAATTCACCCAACTCTGTCAGTGTTTTCTGTGTATTTTTTCTCCAGGTATTTTCTTCTCTGTGCTGATACAAAGTCCAGTGTGTGTAAAGACAACAGTAATTGTTGCAGTACTCTTTATGCCTAGTCA